GAACAACCTAGAGATTTAAAAATGAAAGATGTTACACTCTTGAGAAAAATCCATGGCGTAGTTGAGCTTACCATAGGCAAGACATCCTTCCATAATGTTGTAACAATGCTATCGCCGATTTTGGAGATTTACCAACAGTAATTCAATTCAGTCCTTACCAAAAGCTGTCACTCAAGCAAAAATGTTCTCGACCATGCCGTTTAGTTGCTATTTGACCAGCTAAGTTTTTTGATTAATCATCAATTGAGCCTTGAGTGACTACCGCTAATCTTAAACATGAAAACGAGCCATTTTCTCTATCCTACAGCTGTGCCAGGAATTTGATCTGAGGGATACGAGATGGCAGAAGTGGAGTTGTTGGGGGTTGATAGTCTTTCAAATGGCATGCAGTTAGTAGGTGCGTCATTACTTTTGATCCAAAGATGGTTTGGCGAGACTCCGGTCGTTAAAACCGCAGCTGCGATCAATTGCCGTCGGAAACGTGGAGCTTCTACAGCATAAATATCAAAATATTTTTTTTCGAAAATATGAGCAAAATTGATGAAAGAATCACTTTTACATGAAAACACAGCTACGAGAACCGATTGTGAGGCCTGTAGAAGACAAACATTACGCCACAGTTTAGGATCCTAAGTGAGCGGTTGAAACAAGCGGTGTAAGTCGCATAACCTATCATTGAAATGGACTGAGCTTTCAAATAGCAAATATTCCATGACTGAATTACTTCTTTATAGCGAAGAATAGTAAAAGCCATCCACACTAATCGCCTTGACATATTTGGTACCAGTGTCAAAATGCGCGAAAATTGGGTTATCTTACCTGGACCCTCATGTCGACCACACATAACGGCCGATTATTGTAAAAAATGCGATAAATAGGGAAGACGGAAGTGGAAGTTTGTTTCCTACCAGAGCAACAATGTATAGCCCCCCGATGGTGGTTTAGGTCTTACAGAGGAGTTAAAGGTAGGTTGCACGTTGGAGCATGTATTTCAAAAAGGGGATTGTGCACCAGGTCAACAACCAACAAAGATATAGACTGAAAATATCAAAAATACTTAGGTTTTACAACTGAGATAATTTGTACTAGGCCTAGCACCAGAGCTTTGTTTGTGGCACCCTAACCAATGCAGGCAACTGCGACGACTGCAAGAAGACGCCTTTGATGACGATCGGTGGGAGTGTGAAGAAGACGTGGAGAGGATGATGTACATGAGAATGATGAGGACGGATGTAGAGGACGAAGAGCTGCACTGACTGGATTATAGAGAAGACTCAGATAATCAGGTGCCAGGCCGGAGTAACCAGTGATTGAGTGAAGCAGTGGGTGGAATACCTCGTCTGCCTACCTAACCATTGCATTACCAGTTTGTTCATCTCGCCTACTTCAGGTTATGTCAACAGTAAAGAAGAAATTGACGAAACGTCCTTCCTCGGAGCATAGTTGGCTAAGCTGTGACAGAGTGACACTTCCGAAATATGTAGGGCGTGTGAGTTGGGGTGTAGGTAGATTTTAAGCTTGTTTTAGCGTTAAAGACTGTTGGATAAAGTCTTGACGACTCCGTCAAAGTAAATCCGCGGAAATCTGTATCCATCCGTTCACTCTCCCAAAACTCCATCCATCCACCCACCCATTCACTCACCCCTCTCTTTCATTTTCACCCATCCTGCCCTTATCCAAGCATCGATTCTCCCTTCATTCCCTATCTACCTATTCTTTCACCTATTCATCCGGGCGCGTATTCCACCGCCTTCTATTCACCTATTCATCGCAAGCCCATTCATTAAGGCAACCAAGTATCCTGTATTAATGCATTTATCCCTCTCTTCCTCCCTTCCTCCATCCGCGCATTCACTCTTCCTCCGTCTATCCATTTACCCACTTTTTCCACAACTTCACCCCTCCCTGTATCTCTCTTACAACCACCAGCTACCCACTTAATCACTTCTCTAATCATTGAATCGTTTTGGTACAGTTGTGTTCTTCTATGCACGCCGTTGGGCACTTAGTGCAAGTCATAACCTTGTCAAGTCCACAGATGTATCATCAACCGGAAACATCTTTCCTCACGACCGGCCAAGGTCTTCATAGCCCATATAAGATCCAAGATTATGCGACCTCTTTTTTTATCAAAATTGCAAGAGTGAAAAGTCCGCACTACTTATTCGCTGTCTTCGCTTTCTCAGTGGCGGTTTTTGGCGTTTGGGTTAACGCCAAGCGCCCTAGCAAGCTCCCTGAAGGTGGGCAAGAAGCTCAACATGGATCCCGCCAATCATATGTGAAGATGCAGAGTGAATATAGGTTTGGCCAAGTCTTCTCCGACTCCATCAACTTGGATGTGGAAAGTAAAGAAAGGGTTGAAAGTGACATTTTCTGTTCCATCGACGTGAATGATAGCAAAAATGGGAAACATGGGGTGAATTTCGCAAGAAGAAAGAAGAAGAAGATGACGACGAAGACTATTTTGCCAAATAGAATTAAAAAGCCGGATTCTGAAGCGTTGAAAATGTTTACACCACTTCATGTAAGACCGAATTCGACTGAACACGAGAATAAGAAAGTGAAGCGCAAGCGTGAAGACAAGGAGAGGGTTGACCATGAGAAAGCCCTTGGCGATCGGACGCTATCCAGAACCCCGACAGCTAAAAAGCATTCACGGAGGGAGTCAAGAAGGAGATAAAATTCGTCACCTATATGCTTTCTTAGGCGTAACTGGATGGAAGAGCGGTGTGTATATCTCCTTATCTGATTGTTCAGTTACTCCATTTGTCGTCTGACCTTGATCAGGTTCTCTGTGCACTGTAGTGATTTCGGTGTAGGGTTTTCTTCCAAGTAAAAATGCTTCTTTTATAAACTTCATCTAAGCGACGCTATTCAGGGTGGGTGTTTTGGATGTATTTTTGAAAGTATTCATTCCTCTGGAAGGCTCGTGGGTTCGGAAGAAACTTCAATTTGAGCATAGGTAAGAGTCGGGGTGAGTTGAGTAGAGTCATAAAATGTTACTGATGTCCGAACGCAAAGAATCATTCTGTATCTACTCGAATCCATCCAGTCATTCATCCAACCACCCGTAATTAGCTGCCAATCCTTTTTGTACGCATTCATCCATCCGTCTTAAATTTGCCTATCAAGCTAACCACTTATCTCGTGTCAATGCATCCATCCCTCTCTCCCTCCCCTCCTCCATCCACACACTCATCCTTCCCTCTCCATCCATTCATCCACTTTTCCTCCTTACCCTTCCATGCATCTATCTTTGCCTATCCATCTATTCAGTCCTTTCTCTAATCATGGAACATTTCCAGTGCAGCTTTGTTCTTTTGTCCACACCGTAGTGTACTTGGTGCGATTCATTACCTTCTCAGGTCCGGTGATGTTTCATCAACCGCAAACATCCTTCTTACAATAGGTCAAGGTCTGCATCGCGTTTAAAAGACGCAAGAGTATGCGACCTCTTTGCTGTCAAAAGTGCAAGAGTGTAGCCTCCACACTTCTTATTCTCCATGTACCTTCTCATTGCGGTCGCCTTTGCCATTTGAGTCAACACCAGACCAACCAAGCAACATGAAGATGGGCATAGTGCTATACATGAATCCCACCAATCGTATTTGCAGCCTCCGCTTCGGTTTAATTTTTGCCAAACCATTACTGGCAACATCAGCTTGGAGGTGGAATGTAAAGCGATAATCGACAAAAACATCATCTTACTCATCAGCAATGGTGACTCGGAAGGTGGACAAACAGCGGGCGGTAGTTGGAAGGAGGAATAAGTAGAAGAAGACTAAGATCACGCCAATAACGGTTCGGACAACCGGAAAAGCACACACCAAGCCATCCAAAGTTGGAAAGAGATGAACTCGACCATCATTGAGGCGAAGACGACCGTGGATAGGAGGAAGACCTAGACAAGTACACGCCAATGAATAAAGTAGTGGACACAAATCCTACAGTCCATTATCCTCTACCGTTCTCATGGAATGGCTCAGCAGCTGCCCATACGATACAACCTGAAGACATATTCACAGACAATATGCTTACCGCTGGCGCTCACTGCAAGGCAGCATCTACTGAGAGTACGAAATGGGAGATGAAATTTCACACCTGTCGGATTTATTATTAAGTGCGACTGAAGGGAGGAGTGGTAATTAACTTTCCTCACACAGTTGCCTAGACACTACATTGGTCGTCTAACCTTGATCAAGTTCTCACTACAACTGCCTCTAAATAAAAGGAGAACTAACTATATTTCAACAGAATTGACTGTTATGCAGAGAGCCATCATCTGAATAATCTGGCAGGCGTGGGGTATGGAAGTAGCTTTGTTCAAGGCCTAATTTAGGGCTAAGCAGTGTTAAGGAAAGTAAGGAATCCGTTGATTTTGTCAATTCGAGATAAGTTGGATCCATCTATCCTCTCTCCAACCATCCAACCGTTCTTAATCAACCCCTTTTCCATTTTACGTGTATTCCGAATCCATTCATCACTCCATCCATCTATGCATCTATCAATTTTATCCATCAGTCCACCTTCCCACATCCATTCTGCATCCAACCCCTGTCCCTTCACTCATCCACCACTACATCAATTAGTACTGTGTCCACACATCAATGCATTTGCCCATCCAAATGCCTCTCCTCCACCATAACCATATAACCACTTGTCGTATGGAGCTGTTCATTTTACATCCGCTCTACAGCACTGCCTAAAGCATTAACCAACTATATTCCTCCAGTCCTGCCTCATTCACAGAAGTCCTCCTGTACGATCGGTCAAGACCCCTCCACCCACGTATATTTCAGAATCATGTAACCACTTTTGATAAACAGTTAGTGGATGAAGAGTCCTCACCGCCTCTCTGCCCTCTTTGCTGTCCAATTTGCTGCCTCTATTAATGACACACTCAACAGACAGCGTGAAGTGGCGGATGATCCTCCACATACCTCTGGCAGCATTGAATTTAACGCCAAATATGAAGAGATTGTTGGTTCTTTCCACTTGCGATAGTGGTACTGAAGGCAAGAAAAAAGTTGTGATGACTGGGACTGTGAAGGAGCGGCAGATGATGAAGTGGATGTGGGAGTAAAAGAGGAAGGAGAGATGAAACAGGAACCAGAGGAAAGGGAAGAAGGTGAGGGTTGACAATCCCACTGTGATGAGAACTACGGAGAAGATGGATGCGAGTATGTTGGGGCCGGAGTGAGAGATGGATTTGAGGATGATGGTATATATGAGGAGGATGACAAGGGGTCGTCTTCATGCCCTCAGTCATCGCATTCTACACCTTCCCTACCAGTCTGTGTACCTTCTCCTCATGGTCGATTTCATGCTCATGTCCGTCGTTCTTGAAGTCTTCCACACACGCATGTCTTTCTCCTGTGTCGTCATATTCATGTGTGCGTCCATCGTCCTCGCCGCCTCCAAGCTGCAACATTAATCCGATCTTGCTAGACATATGTGGAGGGCCATTTGCCACTTCACGGTGACCAGTAGGTGTAGCGTTGGCATTGACAGCAAGTAAGACGGCAAGCGCAGCAGTAAGGAAGTGTGTACTCTTCATTTCCTACTGTTAATAAAATATAATTACATTACTTTATAATTGCTGCGGATAAAAGTGTCCTGACCGATGGTAGAAGAAAATTTCTCCGGCTGACGATGGTGACGACGATAGAGTGGAGAGACATTGTTGGTAGAGGAAATGAATAAATGCGAACGAGTGGTGCCAGGTACGGAAGAGTGGGTAAAAGCCATGTAGATGCAGGAAGGAATGGAAGAAAGAAATGATAGGTGGATGGATTTTCATCACTTTTACCTACACATTAATTCATTCATCTCCCTTTCACCAAGCTCCTTCAATTACATGGTAATCAGCATCAAAATCTTTCCTTTTCCATCATTGTTTCGATAGCCTTCACCACTCAGGACTTCGCCATAATCATCGTCTTCTTCATAGACGCCGTCGCCTTTAACATCCTCGGCTTCATCATAATACTCGTCGTCTTCGACATTTGTGTCTTCTTCCTAAACTAGTTGTCTTCTTCATGCTCCTCTCTCATATTCCTCGTATCATTCCTCATTTTCGTTTTTACCATAGTTCCCATCGTCTTCAACATCGTCAGCCCCATCATATTTGTCATCGTTCTCAACCCACTTATCTTCTTCCCATCGTCCTCCTCGCCTTCTCTGTGCTCGTGGCTTTCGTAACCTAGGTGCCTGTATTATCTTCCTCTTGATCATATCCCCTCCACTATGACATTCCAGACTTCAGCACGATCCTTATCGTCTTCATCTTTCACGTCAAGTTCATGCGCCCCTTCGCTCTCTTCATGTCCAACTACATCAATGCCTTATTCAACGCGCACGTGCGCTTTTCGTCGTCTTAATGCCTGCGCTTATTGACCTCATAGTGTGTAGGTTTCCGTAAAAATTCAATGTTGCTGGAGATGTGTTAAGGACCATCTGCCTCTTCACGGTGTCAGGCAGGACTGTCGTTAGCTCAAGCAGCAAGCACAATGACAAGCGAGGAGGAGCACATTCCTCATTCTCCGACTCTTGATAAAAGGCGGTCACATTTGCAAGCAATTCATATCGTTAGCATGGCCTTGATCGATCTCAAAAGCGGATGTGATTGGATGATGAGAGTAAGGAGAAATGTGGTTGGTTAATAATGTAGTCTCAGAGCAAGAGCAGAGAGAAAAGTTGGAAGAGTAAAATGAGATGTAGCCAGAGATGAATTTACGGATGGATGGAGGAATGGAGGGATGAACGGGTACATACAGGATGGACAGATGGTTGAAAGGATGGGTAGAAAAGTGGGTGGGTACATGGAGGTAAGAGGGAAGGTTGAGGGCAGAAGGAAGGGATGGATGGAAGTAAGGAGGGATGAGTAGAGGGTGTAGGGATCCGAGATGCATAGATGCGCGATTGATGGATAAATGAAGGACTGGAGGGAAGCGAAAGTGATAACAAGTGGGATGGGCGTGAACAGATGGGTGGGTGTGCGTAGGATTGGATGTATATTTGGATGCGTGGATACAAAGATCTCAATTTGCTTCAACACATTCCCCAAGACATTACCCAACAGCCCTTATCTCTTAGGCATGTCTTAAATCCGTTTTACCACGCACTCCTTCTAGAGTATTGAGCTCGCACCCCAGCTCAGTCCAATCAACTGCGTCGATATGAAGGCAGGTGTGTCCAATTCTTTATTTGCTTAAAGACAAGTCACCCACCATTTGGCAATTGAAGAAAAGCAATGAATGCAGGACGGAGTAATGGTTAGTGCAATTACGAAGTGAGGAGAAAAGTCATTGAAGACACTGTCTCCCTACTCAGAGGAGCATGGTGACGACTATGACGACGACTACAGGAACGGGTGTGAAAAGTGATTCGAGAGAAGTGGAGCGTCCCTCACTTCCTTGGAGATGGTTGGGATGTAACGAAGCGCCAGTTAAAAAGTCTGTG